GAAGATAGTTGAATTATCATTTATCTCTGACACCAAATATCTCGGAGTAAATTCAGTCATGTCATTTGGATGATATGCTATTAAATCATATCCTTAGCGAGCTTGTATTTTCCAGGTTTGAAATTATATCCCATTTGGTGCTGAACCATAAAGCTAAATAGGTTCGGGTCAGTATTTCCTTCCTTGAACTTTCTAATAGCTTCTTTATATCTGTCACTAAAGTCAAGAGTATCTGGGTAACCATAATTTTCCTTAAGCATTTTTAAGAATTCTTGTTTCCTTGTTCTCTACTTCTTTTATGTCCTTGCTCTGTTTTGTGGTGTTGCTGTGCAGTGTTTTGAACTGTTGGTTGTGGTGCAGTGTTTTGAACTGTTGGTTGTGGTGCAGTGTTTTGAACTGTGTTGTTGTGGTGCAGTGTTTTGAAACTGTTGGTTGTGGTGCAGTGTTTTGAACTGTTGGTTTGTGGTGCATGCCTGTGTCTGTGTCCATGTGACGATGTAAATGTTTTAGGTAGTCCGCGAGAAAAGTTCATAGCATCTAATGTCAAGTTGTATGACCTCATATCCTCAACTGTAGAATATTCTTCTCTTGGATAATATTTGCCATCTATGTTTATATGATATTTATACCAGGGTTGTGCAGAAACAAGAATAGTCATTTATAGTTCGTCTGAACAGTACAAACATAGTATCTGCATGTTTCATTGCAGTTGTTAAAGCAATATTGTTCTTGCACCTGGGTCAGCACTTTGGTTTCCAACTTCACCTGCAAAGTCTTTGACAGATATTTGGTGTATAGGGAACATAAGTGGAAACTGCAATATATTTGGCAGCTAAAGCATTTGAATATCTGGGTCCAACATATAGACTGCAAGTCTGCTTTCTATTCTCTTGCATTCAAACTTTTCGCATGTGAACTTAACTGGGTCCCAAGCATCTCCAGCAGCATTGAAATAATAGTTTACTTCAGTGTTGAGGTTTGAGAAACCAAAGTCTAAGTCAACTTTGTCTTTGCAAAAGTCACAGAACTTGGCTCCACCAGTTCCAGCTACAGTAATGCTGAATGGGTCTTGTGTTGGTGCAATGACTAAGTTATTTTTGCTTGGAGTAAGTTCGATAGAAAATTTTTCCTGCCAGTTTGGCAAAGTATCTTAAAAACCTGAAGATGAGGAAAAGATGACAAAGGAACTCTAAGTTTCAGTTTTACTTGTAGTGGCAGCATTTCTCATCTGAACCAGAAAGGTTAACATAAACTCCTGGAACGTTAGGGTCAAGTCTTCTTATTTTCTCAATAGTTGCATACTGGTCTGTTTGTTCTCTAGCTTGTGGTTGTACTGAGTTTCTCAAAGCGAACCATTCATAGTTTGCCCATGTTACTGTTTGAACTAAGTCAGAGTTTAGAATATATCTTATATCCCATGAAAACTTCTGGAGCATATTGGTATCCGACATAGAAAATTCCATTGCAACCTTTCTTGTCAGACAACTTGGCAGAAGGTTTTATTTCAATGTCTTGTTCCACGTATAAGAATGAGTTGTCAATAGAAATAATATGAAACCTGTCGCAAGCAATATCTACTGTTGTTGAAGAACTTTCTCCAAACTCACCTACGTTTCCATAAGAAACAGCAGTTGTATATTCGTAAGTTCCAGGAACTATTTCTGACCTTCTAATGGCATTGTCGCATTCGTTATACATTCGAAACATTTCCGTTCAATGGCATCCAAAACTGTTGGTGTTATATTCTGAGCGGCGTACATTTCATATGGGTAAAAATATAGAATAGTTGGATTTATATATCATAATAGAACCCACTCGGACCAAGCTTTACTTTCTTCCTGACTGAGTTTTTAACTCTTCTTTTTCCTTCATTGCCACTACTTTCACTAGATGAAGTTACTTCTTCACTACTTTCACTTTGTTCTACTCTTCTCTTCTTCTTTGGTGTCGCTTTGGTAACATGCCCTCTGCTTCAAGTTGTTGCATCTTTGCCTCATGTTCACCTAGTATGTTGTAAATTTCCCATGTCCTTTTTGCCTTTGGGCTCTGGTCGCCCATCTCAGGTAACCTATATCCTAGAAAGATTTTGTCATAGTTTGTATTGAGTCTTCGCGTATTGTTTTGCATGACTCTTTCCTGAGTTTCCGGTTCAAGCTCTTCAAACAGAGCTTGTCCATATGGAATAAGCTCGTTTCCAAATATATGTTTTGTAAGCCATTCTGGTTTTCTTCCATGTTACCAATAATATCTTTTGTGAATGGGAAAGCTTTACCCAACGCTTCATGTCTTGCGTCATTTATTTCTGTAGTTGGTTTTATTTTGTCAAGGAAAACATGTTTTTCAATACTAACATTTCATTTGGTACTGTCCATTTGAGTTTTCTTAAATATTCATCCATTCTCGGTTCATTGTCTGCAAAGTAAGTTTTTATGACATTTTGCAAAACTTTCGTTTGCAAGGTCATGTACAATAGGTTCTCTTCCTTCTCTCTCCCTAACTTTCTTTCTAAACTCTTCACCAAATATACCATCTCTATGGTTTCTGTGTAGTTCTTTGAGATAAATTTCTAGAACGTCAGGTGTTATATTTCCATCAGCCATGTTCATTTCATACTGGTTCAAAATATCTGCATCTTTCATATCTTTCAATGGCATTAAAGCCGCGCTGAAAATACCAGCTATATCTGGTTCACCATTCACTTCCATTGCGTCTACAACTTCTTGAATTGTGGTTGTAAGTTTATGAACCACCTATCCGGATTAGCTTTATGACCCCATTTCATTGTAGTTCCATAGTCTGCAGAAAACAAAAGTAGGTTTGTTTCCATATTGGTTAGGTTCTGAATGAACTTTAAACAATGTTTCATTTCTATATGTTTTGGTGAAATTAACCTTTTATTTTCACCGAGTTCAGCCAAAGATTGAACGTTATATGTCGTAAGTAAAAAAGGATTGTTGTTTGCGTACATTTTCTTTCAGTACTTCCATTCTATGCTGAATATTTTTCATCTGATGTTGGAGTCTTTTGTATGTCGGCGAACATTTTTCGATATTCTTCTACTATGTCAGCCGAATTTTTCTTAGACTCTTGGAAAGATTCCATATTCACCTCATAGTCTTGTTGAGGGTCAAGATTTTTTCGGCTGTTCCAAATCTTCATCTAGTTCTGTGAAGTTAGTTTCCAAAGGAGGAACTTGTTCGTTTCCTTCAGGCTCTTCTAGCTGTTGTTGCTGAACTATTTCTTCCATGTCTGTTTGTATCTGAACTTCTTCCTGTGGAGTTTCTTGTACCTCATCTGCTGGCATTTCATATATTCCGAGACAGTTTTTAACAAATTCCCTTTCTAAGTCATCCGGACTCATAAACCTTTCTTCTTTCGTTCCGTCTCTATTTTTTACGCGTTTCATGAAGAGAGTTGAATTATCATTTAGCTCTGACATCAAATATCTCGGAGTAAATTCATCCATGTCATTTGGATGATATGCTATTAAATCATATCCCTTAGCGAGCTTGTATTTTCCAGGTTTGAAATTATATCCCATTTGGTGCTGAACCATAAAGCTAAATAGGTTCGGGTCAGTATTTCCTTCCTTGAACTTTTTAATAGCTTCTTTATATCTGTCACTAAAGTCAAGAGTATCTGGGTAACCATAATCTTCCTTAAGCATTTTTAAGAATTCTTGGTTTCCTTGTTCTCTACTTCTTTTATGTCCTTGCTCTGTTTGTGGTTGTTGTTGTGCAGGGTTTTGAACTGTTGGTTGTTGTTGTGCAGGGTTTTGAACTGTTGGTTGTGGTGCTGGATTTTGAATTGTTGGTTGTTGTGTTGGTTTTGGTGCATGCCTGTGTCTGTGTCCATGTGACGATGTAAATGTTTTAGGTAGTCCGGGTGCAGGTGCTTCTCTTGGAGGGTTTGGTGGTATATAAGTTCCACCAGCTGGCACATATGTTCCATCTGCAGCATAATGTCCTACCTGACTTTTCGTTCTTAAGAAAGCATTTACTAGGTCTGTTTTGGTCTGTTGTAACTCTTTTTCTTGACTTTCCACAACAGTTGCTCTAACGGCGTCATTAGGCCACTTTGAACTGCCTGTCTCGTTGCTGCATCTGTTATTTTCGTCATATTTTGTGCTACTTCTCTTAACTCTTTGTCGAAACCTTCAGACTTCAGTTTCTTTTCCAGATGAGAAGTCGTTCACTAGTTTCACCTTACTATGAAGAGCTTCGAAGGCGTTCTTAAAGTCAGCATTCATTAAAGCTTCATTTGAACTGTCTTCATCCGCTTGTATTTTTTCCTTATTGACCTATAAGTTGGGCTGCTTTAGCGTTGGCTTGGGCGTCTAACCAGTCATTATTAGCTTTTATATATTCTGCGCTTTTCATTGCCTTTTGCATGGCCGCGTCGTTATTTTTACTTTCTTGTGCTAAGTTTTTCATACTGTACGGTTTGGTTTTTGCAACTGTAAAAGTTTTTCTGCCTTTACATTTGCTTCAACTTCTTTTTTATACTCATCGCTATCCATATATGTCTTCAGGGCTTTTTGTTTTATCTCTTCATCTTTCAGTACTTTATATTGAGTAGTATGGTTTTTCAAATTTATAACATCTTGTTCCATTTTTGCTACTTCTGCTGCTTTTTCTGACACTTTTTTCGCATATTCTCTGTACTTAGTTCTTTCAGTTGTTCTTCTTTCTTCTTTTTCTCTACGTTTAACTCATTGAGTTTCTTTGTGTGTCTGTCATATTCTAGTTTCTTTTCGTTTTCACTTATTTGTTTCTGTATGTCTATGTTTGACTTTTTGACATCTGTTATTTGATTTTGAGTGAACTCAAATTCATTTGACTTTGAGGGTTATAAGCTGTTTCCGTCTGCAGCTCCACCATAGCCTGCCATTTTCGCTAAAAGTGCCGCTCTTAAACCTCCACTCTGTGCACCAATAACTCGGTTTAAAAGCATAGGGTTGCTTGACATTTGTTGCAACATAGTGGGTCATTCATCATTTGTTGTTGCAACTGTTGTTGTGGTGTCAGTTTTACTATTGGATGTTTCAATGCTCCCTTCCTCTTACGTATATTCTTACGTAGCTTACGTGGCATTTTAAGTGAAGTTAAAAAAGCGGTTTTTGACAGATGTTTATATGACACTTTTTGTTCAGCACAAAAAACTACTCGGTCAAAAGTGTTGTCAGTTTTTGTAAAATAACCGTCCTATCTCATTCTATAAGTGGGAAAGGCTTCTCAAAGTATACTTCCTTGGAACGCCTGTAACTTTTCCTGTAGCGATGATAGACCCTTATTTGTCCGGACAAAGTTATACTATTTTGAGTGCTCTACAAAAAAGTCAACGGCTGGTCGGCTGGGGTTCGGTCCTCCTCTTGGGTCTTGGGCAAAATTTCTTATGGGCTAGAGGGCGCAACGCGCCTGGAAGCCCTCCGAATATAAACTTCATTTATACTAAACATCTTCGGGGCTAGAGGGCGCAACGCGCCTGGAAGCCCTCCGAATATAAACTTCATTTATACTAAACATCTTCAGGGCTAGAGGGCGCAACGCGCCTGGAAGCCCCACTACCTTTTTTTTTTTTGATTATATTTGAATACGCTCTCCTAATTTGAAGGAACTGGTTAAATCATAAATTGATCATGAATAATTTTTTTTCGAAATAACAATTATAATTTCATATTCATTATAAGTTGAAATGTAATAAACAGAAATTCATCAAAAGTGACAGCTCTCAATTTTTTGACATTTGTAAATTCTAAATTGAATGAGAAAAATGAAATAATACTAAGCATAATACAATATTCTAGATTTAATTATAATTAGGAAAAGTTAGTTTTGAGAGTACTTTTCATAGGCATATAGAATGAAATCTTCTGAAAAATAATATCACATAAACTCATATTATTTTCTAATATATAACTATTTTATATAAAAATCAAATTCAATGATCTTAAAAGCGAAGGATAAACCTCAAAATTTACGAATATAAATGAGTGGGAATATAATGCTTATCTATCATAAAACCATATGAAATATCAATTTTTGCTTTACGCCTAATTTTTGACGACAATTAGCAAAAAATGTTAAATGTTAACACTCAGTCATTTGAATATGAAAAATAAAATTGACTTTGATTAAATGTTTTTATTTAATCAAAAATTGATATTTCATATGGTTTTATGATAGATAAGCATTATATTCCACTCATTATATTCGTAAATTTTGAGGTTTATCCTTCGCTTTTAAGATCATTGAATTTGATTTTTATATAAAAGTTATATATTAGAAAATAATATGAGTTTATGTGATATTATTTTCAGAAGATTTTGTGTTCTTCTTCAAAATTTTATTTTTTATTAAAAAGAATCTTTACAAAATATACATTTACTTTAATTAATATTTAAAAACGTGCTCTATCAAAAGTTCCAAAAATTCAATATTTTAGCTTTTCTGAGGTGTCACTTTTGATGAATTTCTGTTTACAACAGAAAATATATCATAAAGACTTTATGAATGATAAATTCCTAAAAAACAAGTTAGTTTGTTTCTGAAAATAATAATAATAAAAACCAATTTAGACCCAATAATTTTTGGCGGGATAATTGAGATGTTACGATTGAATTAAAAAAAAAGCGGTAATACATTTTTACAATGATGAAGAGGCTGGCAACCTCTGAGTCAAAGCACTTGTTAATGCAATGATGAAGAGGCTGGCAACCTCTGAGTCAAAGCACTTGTTAATGCAATGATGAAGAGGCTGGCAACCTCTGAGTCAAAGCACTTGTTAATGCAATGATGAAGAGGCTGGCAACCTCTGAGTCAAAGCACTTGTTAATGCAATGATGAAGAGGCTGGCAACCTCTGAGTCAAAGCACTTGTTAATGCAATGATGAAGAGGCTGGCAACCTCTAAGTCAAAGCACTTGTTAATGCAATGATGAAGAGGTTGGCAACATCTGAGTTAAAATACTTTTCCCAGTGTGGGAGTAATTTGAAAAAAAAATTTAGTTCATATATTGAAAAAAACAAAAGTAAAAATTAAAGTTTATAGGTTGTGTGTTGATGAGCTAATTGTTAAGATATTGTAGTTCTAAAGAAAAATTTGAGTTTCGAGGAAGTTTCTCGACAGAGGAAACTTTCATATCGAATGTTGCCTCTGTCGAGATGTATGTGACAGGCAAAGTGCAATCACCTATCAATATTGCACTTTGCCTGTCAAAAGTTCCGCATCTCTTGAGGTGTGAGGAAGTTTCTCGACAGAGGAAACTTTCATATCGAATGTTGCCTCTGTCGAGATGTATGTGACAGGCAAAGTGCAATCACCTATCAATATTGCACTTTGCCTGTCAAAAGTTCTCGCATCTCATGAGGTGTGAGGAAGTTTCTCGACAGAGGAAACTTTCATATCGAATGTTGCCTCTGTCGAGATGTATGTGACAGGCAAAGTGCAATCACCTATCAATATTGCACTTTGCCTGTCAAAAGTTCCTCGCATCTCTTGAGGTGTGAGGAAGTTTCTCGACAGAGGAAACTTTCATATCGAATGTTGCCTCTGTCGAGATGTATGTGACAGGCAAAGTGCAATCACCTATCAATATTGCACTTTGCCTGTCAAAAGTTCTCGCATCTCTTGAGGTGTGAGGAAGTTTCTCGACAGAGGAAACTTTCATATCGAATGTTGTTTTGTTCATCACAGAAAAACTACTCGGTCAAAGTGTGTTTCACCTTACTATGAAGAGCTTCGAAGGCGTTCTTAAAGTCAGCATTTGTTAAAGCTTCATTTGAACTGTCTTCATCCGCTTGTATTTTTGTCCTTATTGACCCTATAAGTTGGGCTGCTTTGGCGTTGGCTTGGGCATCTAACCAGTCATTGTTAGCTTTTATATATTCTGCGCTTTTCATTGCCTTTTGCATGGCTGCGTCGTTATTTTTACTTTCTTGTGCTAAGTTTTCATACTGTACGGTTTGGTTTTGCAACTGTAAAAGTTTTTCTGCATTTACATTTGCTTCAACTTCTTTTTTATACTCATCGCTATCCATATATGTCTTCAGGCTTTTTGTTTTATCTCTTCATCTTTCAGTACTTTATATTGAGTAGTATGGTTTTTCAAATTTACAACATCTTGTTCCATTTTTGCTACTTCTGCTGCTTTTTCTGACACTTTTTTCGCATATTCCTCTGTACTTAGTTCTTTCAGTTGTTCTTCTTTCTTCTTTTTCTCTACGTTTAACTCATTGAGTTTCTTTGTGTGTCTGTCATATTCTAGTTTCTTTTCGTTTTCACCTATTTGTTTCTGTATGTCTATGTTTGACTTTTTGACATCTGCTTTTGATTTTTGAGTGAACTCAAATTCATTTGACTTTGAGGGTTATAAGCTGTTCCGTCTGCAGCTCCACCATAGCCTGCCATTTTTCGCTAAAAGTGCCGCTCTTAAACCTCCACTCTGTGCACCAATAATCGGTTTAAAAGCATAGGATTGCTTGACATTTGTTGCACATAGTGGGGTCATTCATCATTTGTTGTTGCAACTGTTGTTGTGGTGTCAGTTTTACTATTGAATGTTTCAATGCTCCCTTCCTCTTACGTATATTCTTACGTACTTACGTGGCATTTTAAGTGAAGTTAAAAAGCTGTTTTTGACAGATGTTTATATGACACTTTCTCCGTCGTTATAGGACCTCTCTCATATTCTATCTTGTCATATCTAAACTCATAGTCATGTATGTCCTCTAACCATCTCATAACGGTTTCCAAACCACTTTTATCGGATGTAAAGTAAAAGCATGGATGGTTATGTAAAACGTCTAAAGTTTCTAAAGAGTCTCTCAAAGTATACTTCCTTGGAACGCCCGTAACTTTTCCTGTAGCGACGATAGACCCTTACTTGTCCGGACAAAGTTATACTATTTTGAGTGCTCTACAAAAAAGTCAACGACGACGACTCTCAAAAATTTTTTATGGGCTAGAGGGCGCAACGCGCCTGGAAGCCCCCAGTACCCAAAAAACTTCATTTATACTAAACATCTTCAGGGCTAGAGGGCACGAAGTGCCTGGAGGCCCCACTACCTTTTTTTTTTTTTTTTTTTTTAATCTAAGACCAATATCTCAAAGAATTCCTCATTTAAGTATTACTTTTCATTGTTTTTTAAAAAATATCTTTGCTTATTTGTTCACTTTTTTGACATTTATTATATGCTTTTTATCATATTTCCGATGATATGAATATATATTCTATATAAGAATGACGCTACATTCAATCTAAGACCAATATCTCAAAGAATTCCTCATTTAAGTATTACTTTTCATTTTTGATTCAATTTTCGAACGGTTTTCGTAAATTTTGCATCATTTCATTTTTTAATGGGAAAATCATCTATATTTAATCAAAAAAGAGCAAACTTTACAGACGAAAATAAAATATTTATCAGGGAACAATCTGATAAATACCAAAAATCAACATCGAGAGATGAAAAAACGAATATAATCAAACAAGTTCTTCAATATTTTAATATTAAATACGCCGAAAATGAATCTAAGGCTGTCAGAAGATATTTTAGTTATATTGCAGTTAAAAATATTCCCGCAGTTACTGGAAAATATCCTGATACAATTGTTCGCAAAGATATGCTTTATTCGCATGATCATACAAATATTATTAATTCAAATAATATTGAACGTTACTACCGTTGCATCGATCATTCTTGTCAGTTAGTATCCCTATCTTGGGTACGGCGGCACTGCGTTCCACCTTACCCATGATAACGGTTTGACACTTTACGAAACCGTTAACGTATATTTTACAACACAAACGACAACACTAACTTAACCTTAAATATTTACAAAGCCGCCAACCACTTCACCTCACTAATGTAAAAAATAAACGTTCTCACTAACGTTCCCATTAATGTTCTCACTTACAAAAGTATTGCAACTCCTCCCATTGCTGTGCTTCACATAACAGCTCATAATCTTCTGACTCACTTTCTTCTTCATATAGGTCAAAGTCACTGTCATAGTTTATACCTGTAAGTTTTGACAAAGCTAATGAAACACACTTACCGTTTGTATCTATTGCTTGTATATATCTTCCATAA